GCCATGGCCAGGAAAAGTATGAGAATATAATGCATTTTTTGCATTTCAGCGACAACACACTTGGGGTGACCCTGAATTTGACCGGCCCCTTGTAAATAACCTTAACCAGAAATGTGCAGATGTCTATACTCCCCAGCAAAACATCTGCGTTGATGAGTCCCTCATTAATTTTTCTGGCCGCCTTGCATTCAAACAATTTCTCCCAAGCAAGTGTGCCAGATATGGGATCAAGGTGTATAAGACCTGTGAGAGGGCAACAGGCTATACATATAAGTTTCGGATTTACGAGGGAAAAGATAGTCACGTGGAGCCTCCTGGATGCCCAGACTACATGGGGAGCAGTGGCAAAATAGTTTGGGACTTGGGTGTCAACCTTTTTCCATATGGGGTACCACTTATACGTGGACACTTTTTATTCAAACGTGGCACTATTTAGACATTTGTACAATTTTGGAATTGGAGCATGTGGCACCATGCGACCTAATTGCCGAGGATTCCCCCAACGGCTTGTAAATACCCATCTTATAAAAGGGGAAAAAGCCTGCTTGAGAAATGAGGAATTGCTTGCAGTGAAGTGGAAGGACAAACGGGATGTCTTCCATTCACACAGATACAGCCAACCAAATTACCACGGGAGCTGGGTGTTGCTAAGAAGCCCCCCTGTGTCCATGATTATGACCTTAACATGGGAGGGGTGGACTTCAACAACCAGATGATGAAGCCGTACTTAGTTTCCCAAAAAAGCCAGACGCTGGTACATAAAAGTGTCTGTTTATTTATTTCAATTGGCTGTATATAATGCTTTTGTGCTTTACAAAGCAACTGGATGTAGTTGATCCTTCCTAAAATTCCAGGAAGAGATCATCACGGCCCTTTTCTATCCAGAAGGTGCTGTGGCCCAAACCCCCAACCCAGATGCAGTTATCCGGCTGCATGAGAGGCATTTTCTTGGTCTTCAGGTGGTTAGAAGAGTGAATGATGTGTACTAAAAGAAAGCTCTATTTGTGTGTAAAAAAAGGACATACATTTTATTTATGTACCGTATTGCATGACCGCGCAATTGTCAGTTAAACTAGCGCAGCGCTGTATAGCAAAAAATGGCGTAAATTGCAGTATCTATACCAGGGGTAGGCAACCTGAGGCTCTCTAGCTGTTGTGGAACTACATTTCCCATGAGGCATTGCAACATTACAAAACTGACAGTTACAGCTATGATTTGCAGAGGCATGATGGAACTTGTAGTCCTGCAACAGCTGGAGAGCCACAGGTTGCCTACCCCTGATCTATACCATAGTTTGTAGACGCTATAACTGTCACACAAAGCTATCAATATACACTTATTGGGATTTTTTTACCAAAAACATGGAGCAGAATACATTTTGGCCTAAATTTATAACTAACTTTGAGATTACTATATATTTTTTTTTATAGTCAAAATTAGAAAATATTGTTTGTGATCAAATACCACCAAAAGAAAGCTATATTTGTGTGAAACAAAGGACATAATTTTGTTTGGGTACAGCATTGCATGACCGCGCAATTATCAGTTGAATTAGTGCAGCGCTGAGTAGCAAAAAGAGGCGTGGTCATTAACCATTAGCCGCCCGGCCTATAGCCGTTTGGCGGCTGCAAAAATGCATCAGCTTTTTGGGTGCACGCCATTTGGCGTGCTCCCGCACATGCGCAGTTCGCGCGGTTGCAGAGCCGCGCAGCGGCGCGATCTGTCACCGGCCGTGTACCTCGGACACGGCCGATGACAGATCTGAGTACCGGTCCCCGTTGCCGGTACCATGTGACCTGCTGTGACCAATCAGGTCAAATGACAGTTGTATACAATGGATGGCTTCATTCATGCCATCCATTGTATACTAGTGTCTAGCTGTGGTCACAGCAGGTCACATGCACATGTCATGTGATTAGCTGTGGCCAAATCACAGCTAAGCACAAAAAAAAAAAAAAAAAAGAAAAAAAAACCCTGAATGAATCGATGTCATTCAGGTAAATGCTTGCTTATAGCAAAGTAATTCTTTGCTATAAGCAAATTGTGTAAAAAAATAAAAAATACTGATCACTTCCCCAAAGTAGTACAATGTTACTATGGTACTATGTTACTATGGTAACATTGTACTACTTTGGTCATAGTAAAATATGAAAAAAAAATCTTAAATTTTTTTTTTAAAAATGTAATAAAAAATTAAAAATAATAAAAAAATAAAAAAAAAATATATATTTTTTTCATACTGTCACCAGTCAGTGTCCCTGTTCATTGCCATGCCAGTTATATGATGACGCTGTACTGCACTGGTGACAGTATGTAAAAAAAATATAGTGAAAATAATTTTTTTAATTTTTTCATTTTCCAAAAAATTATGATAAAAAAAATACAACTTCAAAAAACTCGCCATGCCTCTTATGAAGTACGTTGGACTGTCTACTCTGCAAAAAGGGGTCATTTGGGGGATATCTGTACTGTGCTGACATTTGGGGGATATCTGTACTGTCCTGACATTTGGGGGATATCTGTACTGTCCTGACATTTGGGGGATATCTGTACTGTCCTGACATTTGGGGGATATCTGTACTGTCCTGACATTTGGGGGATATCTGTACTGTCCTGACATTTGGGGGATATCTGTACTGTTCTGACATTTGGGGGATATCTGTACCGTCCTGACATTTGGGGGATATCTGTACTGTTCTGACATTTGGGGGATATCTGTACTGTTCTGACATTTGGGGGATATCTGTACTGTTCTGACATTTGGGGGATATCTGTACCGTCCTGACATTTGGGGGATATCTGTCCTGTTCTGACATTTGGGGGATATCTGTACTGTCCTGACATTTGGGGGATATCTGTACCGTCCTGACATTTGGGGGATATCTGTACCGTCCTGACATTTGGGGGATATCTGTCCTGTTCTGACATTTGGGGGATATCTGTACTGTCCTGACATTTGGGGGATATCTGTACCGTCCTGACATTTGGGGGATATCTGTACCGTCCTGACATTTGGGGGATATCTGTACTGTTCTGACATTTGGGGGATATCTGTACTGTCCTGACATTTGGGGGATATCTGTACTGTCCTGACATTTGGGGGATATCTGTACTGTTCTGACATTTGGGGGATATCTGTACTGTTCTGACATTTGGGGGATATCTGTACTGTTCTGACATTTGGGGGATATCTGTACTGTTCTGACATTTGGGGGATATCTGTACTGTTCTGACATTTGGGGGATATCTGTACTGTTCTGACATTCTTGGACCTCAAGAAATTAGATTGGCTGTCAGTACTTCAGGACTGATCAATATTCAGATATATCCCATAGTTTGTGAACTCTATAACTTTCCTACAGACCTAATAATACATCCTAATTTGGGTTATTTTCCCCAAAGACATGTAGCAGAATACATCTCGGCCTAAATTTATGAAGAACAATTATTTATTTGTAAACTTTTATAACAGAAACAAAGAAAAACGTGTTTTTTTTTTCAAAATTTTGGGAATTTTTTGTTAATTTAGCAAAAAATAAAAACCCCAGCGGTGATTAAATACCACCAAAAGAAAGCTCTAGTTGTGTGAAGAAAATGATAAAATTTTAGTTTGGGTACAGTGTTGTATGACCGCACAATTGTCATTCAAAGTGTGAGAGCGCTGAAACGTGAAAAATGGCCTGGGGGCAGGAAGGGGGAAAATTGCCCGATATTGAAATGGTTAAGGGGGGTAAATCCTCTGGAGGTCAAGTGGGTAATATTATTATTATTATAATTTAAAAATATAATCCTTTTGATAGAAAATTAAAATATCAGTAATAATAAATAACTATATAATATTATTTTTTTACAGGCTGCTTATAAATTATAAGCATCATTATATAAAATTAAAGTAATTAATTAGGCAAAAATAAAAATATTAAACTTAACAAAGGAAAATAAAATTATAAGAAGAATAGAAGGATTTCATGTGCCTGCTTACATTTTTTTAAAAATTGCAAAAATATCATTAAATTCTATTGTAATGCATGTGTTTTTTGTAATCATACACTGAATGAAAATGGAACATGATATGTTTAATAGGTTTTGTATTTTGTAACTGTCTCTGTATTGTTGTTAATGTTTTGTAATAGGATGATTCATTTATTTTATTCAAACATCAGCAAACACAAGTATCATATAACATGTTAATTGATAGTAGACATTTTCTGAAGAGCGGCTGACCAAGCCCCAGGTTTATTGTCTTTCCTCGGGGGCTTTACCTAAACTTTCTTTGGAGGAGATCTGTTATTATTTGGTTTGTTTATAACCTTCATTGAAGAAATACCGCCTCTGCATCATAATTACACGTCTGACTGGCATTTCCTATGGGAGGCTTGGATAGGTATCATGTTATTTAACAGAAAGCAGCGTCTGCGTTTCCCTGAAAAGCGATCACAAGAGACAGTGAGAATTGGATGACATCATCTGCCAAAAGTTAAAGCATTACAAAATATACTTTGATTTGCAGTACAAACTGTGAGCTTTAACCTCCCTGGCGGTCTGATTATTTCAGATTTTTGTGTGCTGAAAGCGGTACCATTATTTTGTATGGAAATATGTCGTTTTTTTATTGTAGGCTGTAATATTTAGGAATAACTCACTGAAATCTGTCCGAACAAGAGTCTAGTAAACATCCCGGGGAGGATAAAATTTGAAACACGAAATCATAAATTATAATTTAATAAATAATCATAAAAAATAAAAATAATACATTTAATTCAATAATATAATCAAACCAAAAACACTGAAATGTGAAATATAGCGCCAAGTTCGCACATCGCTGAGCAAAGTCGCAGAATCGTTTTCAGTGTCTGATGAGGAATTTTCCCCACGAATCATTATCACTCAATTCTGCAAGTGGTTCTGATTTACTATCGCTGTTCTCTAGCCGGTCTAAAACCGCTTTTGACCTAAAGGGACGCTTTTTGGACGCCATGGACGTTTCTCAGTTACCAGGCAGAAAGAACAGTAAAAATGCAGGCAGGGCGCCGGACAAAGCACTCGGGACAAAATGTATGTGAAATGCATTGAAACAGCAATGTTTTACTATGTAAAATCGTTTTGAAAAAAATGACATTTTTTAAAAATTTTCAAATTTCCCGCCGCCGCCGCCCGTACGTCCCGACGTCACAGGGACCGGAACACAGGAGCCGGATGCCGGCATCAGCCGGAGGAGATGGCCGGGGTCGCTGCAGGGGACACATCGCGGGAGCGAAGTGCTGCAGGGACCCCATGAGCAGCGCCGCATGGTAAGCCCGAGTGTAGCTCGGGGTTACCGCTTTTGGTACAGACATTTTACCCCGAGCTACACTCGGGAATACCGCCAGGGAGGTTAATGTAAATGACATAAAGACAGAATAAAAGAGTCACAAAATTATCATTTTCACAATTTTCAAAAGAAGTGTTGACACACGTTGATGATAATTTAATACATTTAATAATAATTTAATCTAACATTTTGATTTACAAAAAAATAATAATCAGTATTCATCTAATCCAAAATATATTTTGTATATATATACAGTGTAACACCTTAAAGGTATTATAATTGTCTAGAGAGTCATCAATCCAGTATGTGCTTGTGCCGGGATATGCTTTGCTTCCTCACTAGGAGGGATACGCTGAATATTCCTGGGTTTGGGTCAATGAATTGTGCCAAAGTTCTGAACATTTATCCAATCCATATTGAAGTCAATGGGAGTCAAATCTTTAAAATTAGTTCTGGACATTTTCAAGAATACGGAAGAGATTATCAAACAAATCCCATGAGGGTCGGGGCTGGGCACTGCCATGGAGGACATTACTATACAGCACTGTTTGGTGGGAAATAGAGACTTAATAATGATTAAAGTGAAAAAGGCTGAATTCCTTTATATAACATATTTGGAGGAAGCCCTAAACCTGCCTGGGAAGTGGCACACCTCTCTGATGTCTGTATATAATAATGTATAGAATTTACATTGCCATTAAATGACATTTCCCTGCAAGCTTGGTTTTCTTTGTCAAAATGCCATTGGGACCAATAAAAGAGCATACCAGGCCCTTAAAGGTCCGTCATGTGTTTTGGGAACATTTGGGTGGGTTCTCGTGTTGTTTTTGCAAAAGGAGAATCTGGCAAGAAAATGTAATTCACTAGGAAATGATTTTTCTTTCTAAAATGTCTATTTTGCTGTAGTACATCATACAGCAAGAATGACAAAGCAACGGCATCCCCTCCAATATGCACGCCAGAACCCTATACCTTGATGAGAGTCTGTTATAATTCTAGGGGTGAGCCCCTCACAAAAACATAAAAAAGATGCCCCCCCCCCCACAAATACATAACAAAATCCCATTCAAGCATGCAGCCTGGCTGGACAGGAATGTGCAGGGGCACTAACATGCACCCCCTCTTGAATCGCACCAGGTCACATGTCCTCAAAGTGTAGCCACATGCCCCTCTATGGGAATGAGAAAGGGGTACCTAATACCCCTACTCATTCACAAAAAATGTGAACAGTAAATAAACTCACCACATATTTTTATTTTTCTATAATAATAAAACAACTACATTTGGCTTTGCTTTAAAAGAACAGCAACATGCCTATCTGATAATGGTGAATGGAGGAAGAAAACAGCCACAACATATCTAAATGCTATAGGTTTACTAAAAAAAAAAAAAAAAAAAAAGCTGAAGCCCTCAACTTTGTACAGATTGGCCAGTGGCCAACCAATGTACTAGTATAATTTGTGAGCTTGCGTCACGTCCCTGGTGGAGGAGACTGACGTAATAAGGATGGCATGTCCTACACCTCCTGCTCAGGGCTTCTGGTAAAGCCAACTGGTGGGTAAACGGCACAGAGTGGCTTGAGTGCCTCCTAGTTCTTGCCAGCAGCTGGTACAGGTAGACAGGTGTATACAAATGCATATGAAATAGGTAGTGAGCGCTCTAATAGATGTCAGCAGCTAGAACACATTAGGCAACCATAATGCCTTAAATATAAACAATCAAACTTAAATAATGAAGTGCAGCGCTAAGAAGGAATCTAATTGCCTCCTCCCGCCCTGTTTCTTGCGTTCATTTGTGAGACGGCGCGCAGGAAGGAGTATACGGTTTCTATTAACCTTTCTTCTGGTTTTAAAGCGTTTTGGGTTTTTTACCTCTTTTTATCCTGATTTCCTGTTGTTTCCATATATATTTATTATGGGACATATATTCGATACCCTGACTGGGTCTGGTATTGTGATATTAGATATGCTATTCTGCCAGATCCAATACATGATATATTAACATCTGTGTTTATAATTTTATATCCTCATTTTATTTCCTTATATCTGAAGTTTGTAGCATGTATGCGTTTGTATCCTGCATCTTGCCGTGGTCCGTTATATAGATTATGCCATTCACTGAGGGGATCTTTATACCCCATAGTTCATTTTGTGCACTGTTAATGTTACAGATATTTGCACTTCCACTCCCTATAATGGTATAGCGTATATAGCTTATTTCCTGGGGTCTGTGACATAGTGTTTACAGCTTACTCCCTGGGGTCTGTGACATAGCTAACATAGCTTCAGCTAACAATCGTGTCTGGGTTTTCACATTGAGACTTCTCTGTCTCCTCCTCACTACATGGTAGATCGCGGATCCACGGCAAAATGGCGCTGCCGTGCTCGCGCATGCGCAGTGCGTGTTTGTCTTCGGGAAAATGGCCGCGGCTCATTGCGCATGTGCCAGTTCCCCTATTTCTGACACTGGCGTCGGTCACGCTGCTGTGCAGTCTCCCCTCTGATGATGTGCCTTTAGCACGAAAGGCCTAAGGAGGAACTGTACAGAGCGTGACGTCATATACCCGCCTGGAGCCACGAGGAGGCCCGGCGTTTTACACCACTGGGGTCAGTACTGCATTGTTTATCATATGCATTTCACATTTTCATGATGTACCATATGCATACTGCCCTGCTGCTGTTTTTATTAATAAACCTGAGATTTTGAACATACTACACTATTTTGGGCATTTGTTTTCTGGGGCTCCTGTCTGGAGCTTTCACTCCCATAGAGAAAGCACTTTTGCCATCCTGAGAGGAGGTTTCTCCTGAAGCACCTGGCTTACCTTAAGGGGATCCCCCGGACCTGTAACAGGAGTCTGTGATGACCCACCGAGAGGGAGACGCCTGGCTGCCTGGATTCTGATGTTCCCATTGCCCGTGATGCATAATCACACATGCGCATAACCCATGCGTTTCCGGTGAGTGCGCATTTCTGTTACTCTGACAAAGTGGAAGCCGCGGGAATCCGTATCTCTACAGTTCACCATTGTGATACCAGATTATCACTTTATTGACTTTTCATCCTTCTTAGCGCTGCACTTCATTATTTAAGGTGTATACAAACTGGTCATCACTGAGTAGCTTCCCCACATTCGGTGAAAGACTGGAGACAGGACACAAGGAGACCAGCCTATAACCAACAGCAATAAGTGATAATCACAGCAACAGCGGACAAGTGGTAGGCCGTCACGTAGACTGAGACCTGGAGACGGTGTGCAGGCAGGAATGTCCACTGAGAGACTGCAATATGGAGATGACCAAAGCATAGTAGCTCAGAGTGGTTCTGATACAGCAAGCTGGGTTGGTAAGTAACGATCAAATCAAATATGATTCAATGCGATCAAATTTTGTAGAAGGGGACTGTAGAGAGTGAGACAGATGGAATGTCCTATATACGAGATGGATGGACTGTCCTACATATGAGATGGGTGGACTGTCCTACATATGAGATGGGTGGACTGTCCTACATATGAGATGGGTGGACTGTCTTGCACAGGTGGACTATGCTACATATGAGATGGATGGACTGTCCTACATATGAGACGGGTGGACTGTCTTGCACTGGTTTACTGTGCTACATATGAGACAAATGGACTGTCCTACATATGAGACGGGTGGACTGTCTTGCACAGGTGGACTGTCCTACATATGATACGGATGGACTGTCCTACATATGAGACGGGTGGACCGTCTTACATATGAGACAGGTGTACTGTCTTGCACGGGTAGACTGTCCTACATATGAGACAGATGAACTGTCCTACATATGAGACAGGTGGACTTTCTTGCACGGGTGGACTGTCCTACATATGAGAAGGATGGACTGTCTTGCACGGGTGGACTGTTCTACATATGAGATGGGTGGACTGCCCTACATATGAGATGGATGGATTGTCCTACATATGAGAAGGGTGGACTGTCCTACATATGAGATGGATGGACTGTCCTACATATGAGACGGATGGACTGTCCAACATATGAGATGGGTGGACTGTCCTACATATGAGATGGATGGACTGTCCTGCATATGAGATGGTTGGACTGTTCTACAAATGAGATGGATGGACTGTCCTACATATGAGACAGGTGGATGGTCTTACATATGAGACGGGTGGACTGTCTTGAACGGGTGGACTGTCCTACATATGAGATGGATTGACTGTCCTACATATAAGATGGCTGGACGGTCTTGCACGGGTGGACTGTCCTACATATGATATGGATGGACTGTCCTACATATGAGACGGGTGGACCGTCTTACATATGAGACAGGTGGATTGTCTTGCACGGGTAGACTGTCCTACATATGAGACAGATGAACTGTCCTACATATGAGACGGGTGGACTTTCTTGCACGGGTGGACTGTCCTACATATGAGAAGGATGGACTGTCTTGCACGGGTGGACTGTCCTACATATGAGATGGGTGGACTGCCCTACATATGAGATGGATGGATTGTCCTACATATGAGAAGGGTGGACTGTCCTACATAGGAGACGGATGGACTGTCCAACATATGAGATGGGTGGACTGTCCTACATATGAGATGGATGGACTGTCCTGCATATGAGATGGGTGGACTGTTCTACAAATGAGATGGATGGACTGTCCTACATATGAGACAGGTGGATGGTCTTACATATGAGACGGGTGGACTGTCTTGAACGGGTGGACTGTCCTACATATGAGATGGATTGACTGTTTTACATATAAGACGGCTGGACTGTCCAACATATGAGATGGGTGGACTGTCCTACATATGAGACAGGTGGATGGCCTTACATATGAGACGGGTGGACTGTCTTGCACGGGTGGACTGTCCTACATATGAGACGGATGGACTGTCTTACATATGAGACAGGTGGACTGTCTTACATATGAGACAGGTGGACTGTCTTGCACGGGTGGACTGTCCTACATATGAGACGGATGGACTGTCCTACATATGAGATGAATTGACTGTGCTACATATGAGATGGGTGG